GGGGCCATCGCTAGTAGGTTGGAGGTCTTGGATGCCATTGCTAGTAGGTTGGGTTGGAGGCCATCCCTGGTAGGTTGGAGGCCATTAGTAGGTTGGGGGCCATCGCTAGTAGGTTGCAAGCCATTGCCAGTAGGTTGGATGCCATCGCTAGTAGGTTGGGGGCCATCGCTAGTAGGTTGGAGGCGATCGCTAGTAGGTTGGAGGCCATTGCTAGCAGGTTGGAAGCCATCGCTAGTAGGTTGGAGGCCATCATTAGTAGGTTGGAGGCCATGGCTAGTAGGTTGGAGGCCATCGCTAGTAGGGTGGATGCCATTGCTTTTAGTTTGAGGCCATCACTGGTAGGTTGGAGGCCATTGCTAGGCCATAGCTAGCAGGTTGGAGGCCATTGCTATCAGGTTGGAGGCCATCGCTTAGTTACTAGGTTGGATGCGATTGCTATTGGGTTGGAGGCCATCGCTATTAGGTAGGAGGGCACCGCTAGTAGGAGGTTGGAGGCCATCGCTAGTAGGTCGAGACCACCGCTAGTAGGTTGCAGGCCATTGCTATTAGCTTGGAGGCGATCGCTAGTAGGGTTGGAGGCCACCGCTATTGGGTTGGAGGCCATCGCTAGCAGCTATTAGGTTGGAGGCCATCGCTAGTAGCTTGGATGCCATTGCAATTAGCTCGGAGGCTGTTGCTAAGTAGGTTGGAGGCCATTGCTCTTAGGTTCGAGGCCATCGCTAGTAGTTTGGAGGCCATCGCTAGTAGGTTGGAGGCCATTGTATTAGGTTGGAGGACACCGCTGGTAGGTTGGAGGCCATCGCTCCTAGGTTGAAGGCCATCGCTTGGAGGCCATCGCTAGTAGGTTGGAGGCCATTGCTATTAGCTTGGAGGCCATCGCTAGTAGGGTTGGAGGCCATGGCTAGTAGCTTGGAGGCCATCGCTAGTAGGGTTGGAGGCCATCGCTATTGGGTTGGAGGCCATCGCTAGTAGGTTGGAGGCCATTGCTAGTAGTGTGGGGGCCATCGCTAGTAGGTTGGAGGGTATTGGTAGTAGGTTGGAGGCCATCGCTAGTAGGTTGGAGGCCATCGCTTTTAGTAACTCATGTCGGTCGCCATGCATCCAAAAGAGCTGGAACGCATGAAATGACCTTTTCTTTGGAACATCGAGTGTCTTCAGGAATCAACTACCAGCTCATCGATGCCTGTGGCATAGCACGGTCTGTTGCAGGTTGGCCAATACCCTGAGCAAAGACCAATCGCCAAAAGACCAGTCGAGCAAACACTCAGAAAGCTGAACTGGCCGAGGCTTCAACAAGCGGTTTCTTGACCATCATTGACCTTGAAGTCGCTCGGAGGCCATCGCTAGTAACTTAGTAGGTTGGAGGCCATCGCTTTTAGTATCTCAAAAGAATATCTTTTTGGTTTGGCGGTTTGTTATGCTAGGCCGTGGAGCCGACCGTCCACTAACCTTTCTTCGCACCGTGTCTGGGTGAAGACAACCCCAGAAAATTCCAAGTAGACCACCGTGAAGGCTCCCAATCCACCAGCTTGTGCCTTTGTTGAGTCAAAGCTCTGCCCAGATTTTTGGCTGGTCTTTTCGAGAATTCTCTCTCTAGAAAGTTCTTACCCGGGTAGCTTCAGTAAGTTTGTCACTCAACAGCCTCCTTGATGCCGTCAAGCCAGTCACACCAGGCCGTCCAGGCCTGCGGTAAAAGAGCCTCCACGGCCAAAACCTGAGAATGAAAAAGATGATGCTAGTAACAAGTGCCACGCTAGTAGTAACAGGTGCCTTACTAGTAGTAACAAGAAGCTACTAGGAGCAAAGGGCATCGCTACTAGGAGCAAGTGCCTTACTAGTAGTAACAAGAAGCTACTAGTAACAAAGGGCATCGCTACTAGGAGCAAGGACGCTACTAGTAGCAAAGGGCATAGGCCAAACCAAAAACATCCTGATAAGTTTTCCACATAAGCAGCGCTCATATAGTGCACACGTTTCAACGGCTTATGGCTTAAGCCCCAAACACACACAGAAGTGCAATGGCTGCAAGGAGCATCCCGTTGATCTGCCGAACTTTCGGTCACAAAGCTTGGAGTTCAATGCATATCAAGCAACTTCAATTAGCTCCTCCTTCCTAATAGCAATGGCCTCCACCCTTCTAGCAATGGCATCCTTCCTAATAGCAATGGCCTCCACCCTTCTAGCAATGGCCTCCTT